GCTCCAGAGGGATCATCAGTGGGCTCTTTGGACTGATCTCATTGGGACTATACGCTACTACACCTACTGTTCATAAGTTTTCTCCAAAAAGTTATTGATTCACACATTAAATTGATCAGAAAGACATTTAGAATATTCTAAAAGATTGCAAAATTCATCAAAGAATCCTGAAAAAATGGATCATGGTTTCCACAAAAATATTAAGCAGCACAGCTGTTTTCAACATTGATAATATTAAAACAAAATGTTTCTTGAGCACCAAATCAGCATTTTATTTCTCAAGGATTATGTGACACTCACATCTAGAGTAATGGCTGCTGAAAATTCAGCTTTGCCATCACAGGAACAATTTTACAATATATTAAAATAGAAAATGCTTAATTTAATTATGATATTTCACAATGTTACTGTTTTACTGTATGTTTGAACAAATATTTGTAGCCTTTATGACCATAAGAGACTTAAATTAAATTAAATAAATAAATAAATAATCAGTCTTACCAACCACAATTTTTTAAACGGTTGCATACTCCTATCAGTTCATATTGAATAGTACTGCATCATTACTGTGTCTGTTCCCCTTTCGGGCTTGAACTGATGGTAAAACTAATGACATTATTTACTGTCTTTACATTTATTTTGAAAGATGAAGCTTGCGATTATGTTAAGGGGAGTTACATTTCCGACGAATGCTTGCGGTGTTCGGCCAATCACAATGCACTGGGTCAGCTGGCCAATCAGAGCAGACTGCTCTTGTCGGAAGGAGGGACTTTGTAGAAAACAAAGCGTTTGAGAGAGGCGGGGCATAGAGGACCTACAATAATGTACAGTATTTGAAAAATAATGTGTTTTTTGAACATTAAAGCATGTCAACATATTCTGTTACACCAAATACACAAAATAATGATCTTTAAAAAAGCATCATATGACCCCTTTAAGGAAATCCAAACATGTTAAACTGCCCAAAGTGTGAATGGCTGAAGGACATATCTGGTTGTGGTATCATTTAATTAGAAGATGTTCTCTAAAGACTAGCTTTTTATGGAGAAGACTCTCCATTTTGTCATCATGCCATTATCTGTCCACTAGATTTAAGCGCTCACTATGCAGTATCTCTTGCAGACAAGCACGTCAAGGGCAGCGGTCCATTTCTCCATTGCTTTCCCTTTTCATCTCTCATTTGTTCTCTCTAATATCGTCTCATTGCTTTGGTTGCAAGCCCTTCCTGTCTGAAATCTTTGGCCCTAATCAAGGCTAATGTCACAATAGTGATTTTTCCCATACTCCCACTGTCACATCACCGTGCCTCCTCATAATTCCTTTTCTAATAGCGGGAATGTGGGTGTCCGTCTGTTACGTAACTCTGCGGTAACCTCTCCACTTTGTGCTTTGACCCCTATTGATCAGAGAACTTCTCCCATTTATATAAGTGTCTGAGGCAATATGTCTTGCCATCACGCACTCATTTATGCTAATTTATATGCCTCTGTCTGGCTAACCCTCAAGGCCATGGTTTACGCTGCGTCCAACCGGAGATATTTCATTGATCTCTTGTTAAACTGCAGTCAGTTTAGGCTGTTAACCTAATAAAGAGTGGACAGCTAACTTGGGACAGCCTGTCTCCAGAACAAAAATACATGACCACATTTAATGGTTACAATCCACCCTCTCAGTCGAATAGTTGGGGGACTAGTTATTTTTAGTGTACTGCTCCCATTCACATTGTCCTCCACCTAAAAAACAGACAACCAGGGAAGCCTATTTCCTGATGTTGTTAGATGTTTTCTTGCTCTTTCTTTTGATGCTTTGCTGTTCTTTTAGGGCATACAGAGTCATGGTAATTATACAAACAGGCTCATAACAGTGAGTGTGAGAGGCTGATAAGAGAAAGGGGAAGGGGGCAGGAACAGAAGCTTGAAGAGGAGACAGATTTGAGATTATCAGCAGATGAAATAACCTGGTCACTCAAAAAACGACTCAAAATTTGTATTATAATGAAAAGGTGATGCTACTATGAGCCCAAAGGCAATTTAATAAATTCTATTCTATTCTATTCTATTCTATTATGATGCACAAAGACTTCAATGTGTAAAACAAAGGGTAAATAAAGGTTAAGTGTGCACCTCTGGAATTTCATAAAGGTGGTATGTTATGATTTCTCCCCTTACAGTCCAGAATACCTTCTCATAAATAAGCTTTAACCATTGTATTCTCTATTTTGAAAGATCACCAGGATAACAGTTTATAACAGGAATAAGTGGGGGGGCGGGGGTCTTTGTTGAAGACTTGCATTTGAGGTCTTACCTTAACTGTGGACGGCGGTCGGGAAAGCTGGCTTACTCTGGAGAAATAAAAGAAAAAAAAAACAGAATAATGAGGGAAAAAATTGTGTGGATATAGAATTTGTGCAATGCTTTTCATTATTTGTACACCACACATCAGCAGGATCTCTTAATGGAGGGGTTTTCAAACTGGGTTGCTTATTGTCCTTAATGTATTTTGTAGGGTTATCAAAGTAAACTAAAGATATGAATTAAAAATGTTTAAAGGGGTCCTATTATGCTCTTTTACGAAGTCTTGATTTTGTTTTGGGGGTGTACTAGAACAGGCTCTCATACTACGTTGTTCGAAAAACACATTATTTTTCACATATTTTACATTATTACAACACCTCTCTGCCCAGTCTGGCATGAACGGCTCGAATAGTTCCTGTATCAAATGAAAGCCCGCCTTCTGAAATACGCTGAAATAATCAGCTGGGCCAGTGTGTGCTGTGATTGGTTAGCTGGGCCAGTGTGTGTTGTGATTGGCAGCACTCTGCGCCTGGTCGGGAAATGTCATGCCCTTTACCATAGCCGTGATAACACTCGTTGCCTTCTCTAGTGCAGCTCAACCAGGTCTCGTCCCATTCGTCGATATTTGTGATATCAAAAAGAAAATATGCGTTGTAGACCAAACTAGTCGTTCGTTGTAGTTGTTGAAAAGTGATTTCTGTTAAATAAAATATCTCCTTTTTAAGTGGACTTTGAGCTTTGTAACTGTGCAGATCTTTTTTATGTTCAAACAGCATATATATATATATATATATATATAGAGAGAGAGAGAGATATATATTACACATTAGTTCATGTTTAGGGGTCCTTGGGCTTAAAAAAGTTTGATCATTTTAATTTACAAGGCAAATTCACAGAAGCATTAATGAAATATTACTGTTTAGATGCAAAGCTCTGAGTAAAATGAGGTACAGCAGTGGTTTGATTCAGTGTGACCACAAGTGGTCAGGGTAGTGACGAAAGTTAGTGAGGATCCAGATTCTTAATGTGAGAAACACTAATTCTGTGTATAAGTACTTCAGTTCTCCTCATCATCTCAGCATTTTCACTTCTTTCCTTTTTTGCCCTGTGATAAGATGTTCCCTTCTTGTAATTTCAGTCACTCTATTGGAAATCTCAATGGAGACACTTCACAGGCTGCTAGTGCTTTAACACACAGTTAAGGGATGCTTATATCTATAGCATGTCCCCATGGACACCATGCCAACTGATGCCAGGCAGAAAAGGATATGAGACAAATACGTGCGTGTGTGTATTTTTGCGTGACTGCCTGGGTGCACAGTGTTTTCCCCTGCACTATAAATGGCTCCCTCACGGCCCAAAACAGCTAACAGCCTAGAAATAAAGTACTCTTTAAGCTCAATATACATTCTTCCGCTCCAGTGAACGCCTTTCATTTTGCATGTTGTGTCTATAAATAGAGGAAGACAAACAAGAATGTTATATTCATATAACAAGATATTTGTGAATAAAGAATTAATGGGCTTGAGACAGCACAGTTAAAATTCTATTTTAAGACTGGATGATGACTCGCGAGGAAGCAATGTATATGAACAATTGTGAGAAGGGTGTTATGTAAGAGTATTTGTTGGAAATGTTAAATGTATAATTGCACAGGCTCATAACAACTGGATATAAAGCTGCTGCTTTTGGCATGCATGATTTAGCAGCTCATTACATAGCATATATAGCTGCAATTCAGTGGCTGCATAAAACCAATGGTGAGGTAAATCTTTGGTATAATCTGCAACCAACGGAGGGAGTAAACTGCTTTGAATGTCTTTAAGGATACACCTTCACTTGTCATATTTAGTAAATTTAAAGGTGATTATTTATTTTTTTATCATATTCAAAATTTAAAGGTTAAGTTCTTTGTCATATTTTAAATTCAAAGGCGAATATCATATTTATTTTAAATTTAAAGGTTCTTTTTAAAATCTTATTCTAAATTTAAAAAATGAACTATTCATCATTTATTCTAAATTTAAAGGTGAAGCTTTATTATCATATTCTAAATTTAAAGTGCAATTATTTTTTGTTATAATTTATTTTACACTTGAAGTGAAGTTTGCAATTTTTTGAATGTTAAAATATGCTCTCTCATCCCATTATAATATAAAGAGACAACTATAAGTCATTCATAGGTTTATTTCCCTAAAAAAGCACTGTGGCTCTTTACAAACATTGCTCTGTTTGTATGAGTATCTGACCAGCTTGGCATAGCAACACTGGCTCCACCAATTGTGAGAGTTTTGGGCAGGGCTCTTTGTTTACCTGACCAATAGTAGAAGTGGGAAGTGTTCAGGGAAACCTACTTGAAAATAGTCAGTAATATATTATTCTGTTTGACACAACACCTTTAAACATGGTCACGGTATTTTTTGTCAAGATTTATTCATGTTAGGATTGATTTATTTAAGACCTGTGCCTATGGTTTCAAGTGCACTATTTGTATTCCACTACATATTATATATAACAGGAAAAAATAACATTCAGCAATCCTGCTGAGTAGCTCCATGTGAAAAATGTGCTCCATGTGCCTGTTGTAATAGATGGCGAGACGAGAAGAACAGTCAACATCCTGGGCTGTCTCTAAAACCTATCGTGGGACGATCTTCCGCAGTAATCCAACATACCACCCTGCCTAAAAATGTCCCCAAGCAGACAGGAAGGTAGTCATTTTTGAATGGCAACACACACAGGAAATCCACTTGATAAAAGACGGCCACAAAACAGAAAGTGAGTCACAAAGTTCGGGTATCATGTTTGTCTTTATCTTTTAAAGGAATGGGACTCTTCCATATATGTTTTAGATGAAGGTCTGTTTTAAAATGGCTATGTTTAAATGTACATATATAGGACAAAGTATCATATGATGGCTTATGTATGCCATGTTAAAGTGAAATGACATGTCTGGTTAGCTTGAATAGCAAGAGACAACATTGGGGTTTATTTGAAGTTCAATTCCTCTAATGTCGTCATGACTGTTTTTCTAGACAAAGTCTACTTTCATAAAATTGCTCAGTTAGCTTGTCTCTGCCTAATGCTAGTCTGAACTGAATACTGAAATTACATTTACTTTGAAATCTCTCCTGTACTGGTTAATGATTTGAGTAAGAGAAGGTCATGATCTACTAAACTGCAGAGTGTCCTTGTTTGAGAATCCATCTAGATCTCTATCCATCTATCCATCTCGCTTATCCTCACGGATTAACTGTCCACCTGAGGCTATTCACCAGGCACACAAAGATGGCTAAGGCTACCAAAACCACCATGGCAACCACTATTTTTCTGGATTGTCATTGTCAGTGGAGGAAATCGGAAATGATAACCCCGTTTAGCAACGTAAAGTAAGAAACCCTTGAAAGGGAAGCACCTTGATGTCTTTAGATAGTTGTCAGAATAATGACTTTCAAGTTCAAGTTCAACTTGAATAATAATGACTTAAAAGACTGGACTGAATTACTGCTATCAAGGTTATGAGTACAGGCCTAGGCACTCACTGTTTCTCCGCTTTGTCACGATCGTCGAGGAAGAAGAGGGCGGTGGCCAGGAAGAACATCCCCCCCAGAACGATGACAAAGGGGCAGAGCATGAGGGCATAGCCCAAGCTCAGGAACTGCCATAGCGATGATGTGGCGTAGCTCTCCTGCAGCGCGTCTGATATCTGCATTAGCACATAGAGACACAAACAAAAGAGCACTCATTAGCAAACAAAGGAAAAGTCTGCTGCGAGTCATCAGCGACATTAAGTGTAATAATTAACTTCCTAATATTGTCTTCAAGAGCTGTGCTGTCAATCAGTTACAGGGTGAATGGTTAATTATGTTAACTTGTCTTAAGCTATTGGTATCTGTTGAACAGTGAGTCAATATATCTATAAAAAGACAATAAACATGATTAAACTATCAAGGAGGCATTTAGTTTAGTTTCAATTTTACAAACTGATTTAATTTTATGCTGTGTGCTCCCTTAGGATTCACTCAGTCAGTAGTCAGCAACTGGTTCTTAATGTTAATGAGCACATGGCTAATTTCCTATGTGATATTAGCAGGGGATATCGTCATTCTAGAGAGCATTTGATTGTATAATAATTGTACAAAAAGTGTAGTGCGGGATGAATCAGTAATATTTTTGTTCCGTTTAAAAAAAAAAAAAAAAAGATCATTTTTAAATGTCTACATCTGCTAAAAATAAATTGTCAACTTCTAGGAGTACACTAAAGGCCACACAACTCAAATCTTGATTTCATGCGCTTTTTAGAACCAAGCACACTATTTATAACAGACCTGTGAACAGAAAACAAGAGTATGTTTCTAGTGCTAATGTGCTAAAATGTCTTGTTCAGGCTATTCTAAAGTAGCATATTAGAAAATAAAGCAAAAGTTGTATATTTTGACATAAAGATACTAACAGCAGCATTAAAAAGATGTTTAGCAGGGCTAATAATCTCCTCAGAGTCCATCTAACTCGCTTTAGCATAGCTAATCCTTTATCAGCACTAGCGTGCCATGTAAGTCTCGTGGGTTGGATAGGAATGCTGACTCTAAAAACTGTGAGAGTAGGTGCTGACAGTGAGGTCTCTGTGTCTTTGTACCTGCTTAACCATATTTTGGGGACACATTTGTACCCAGAAGTAAGCTAAATCTGACAAAACCTCCTTTTGGGGATGTCCTCATTTGTAAAACTGGTATAAAATAAAGTAAATAGAGGGGCTTTTTTTTAAATTGTAATAATGCAGAAAGTTTAATGTTAGGGTTAGGTTATAGTATCTGTAACTAGCTGTATATAAAAACTACAGAATGTCCCCATTTAGATAGCTAAGCAAATGTGTGTGTTTGTGTGTGTGTGAGCAGACCACACTCCTGTATGTGTGTGTATATGTCAGCCTTCATGATGCCAAAAATGAACTATTTCTACTAATAAAAATAGGGCTGAGGTTGAACATTTCTGGTACGTGTCTAATGAGGTTTTTTGCAAAAAAGATGGTAGATTTCAGCTGATAGCCTATTTTTATAGACAATTACACCACCCACTATGCCTGAGGATATCGATTCACACAGGTACTCTGAATGTTTTTACATCAGTTAGAGTGAAATTTAGCATTACCAGGTATTTAGGAAATGTTATTCATTCACAGGTCTAGTTGAATGTGTTGTCTGCCTGCCACATTTTCTTAAATTTCTTTCCAGTTGTCTTTAGTAAGCTACTGGATGTCAATGCAGTCATAACAGCTCTCTTAGTATAATGTCTGGAAAAACTATATTGTCACTGCCCTGTGTCAAAGTTCCTGTGGTTTTTTCTCTAAAATGTGTTCTTTTTATTATTTAGAGCTGGGACAGAAGTACGTCACAGCCACCATCACACTAGCCTGCCAGACCTCCGGAGTGAAATTATCAAGTAACTGTTGATGCATGACTTGGTTTCACATTCCTGGATTTGACAGGCCAGAATGTCCACACACTTCCTCTGAAGACGTACCTGCTCTACTATCTTAAGAGGTAAAATAGAAGATCATTGTATTCCCAGAAAGCAACCGAGTCAACCAACCACATATGAAACATCACAAAACATGCGGCAGAATTATAACCACACTGTCCAGCTGTCTGTCAGCAAGTAGGACATTTTGAGCAGATGGAATGTGGTGGGTTGCTAACACTATGACTTGAGTGAACTTGACCTCTGGTCTTTAGGAAAAGGCCATTCCTGACATTCCTGTCAATTAAAATCTTGTTTTTCTAATCCTACATGTATTTGCTTGTTTCATATTGGGCTAGATTTCATTTTAGCATTCTTGGAACTCAAATAGTATAACAAAACGCTAGCAATAGCAAGATTATGGGATTGATTCCCACAGAATTTACATTTACTCATCTAGCAGAAACTTTTATCCAATACAAAGTATAATAACAAAGCGAACTTGATAAAATGCATAAACTTCAAAATGTTTGGGGTCAGTAAAGTTTTTTTTTAAGCAATTAATACTTTTACTCAGCATTAAGACACTTTAAATAATCGAAAGTGACAATTAAGACATTTATAATGTTATAAAAGATTTATATTTAAAATAATTTATGTTCTTCTTTCTATTCATCAAAGAATCCTAAAAAAGTATCACAGTTTCCATGAAAATATTATGCAGCATAACTGTTTTCAACAATGATAATAATGAATGTTGATTTCTAGTTGTGTCCTCTTTTGGAAGACCAAACAAAGTAGTTTCGCTTTCACAACGAAACACACAGCGTCTTCACGGCATGGCGGCAGCGGCAGCAATACCACAGCGAGAATCAAAGTCACGCCTTCTTTCTTTGCATATACATTTGGGCGGTGTTATGTAAATCTTCCCACACAGTGACGTAGACATGTGGGGCGTGTTAGAATGAGCCGTTTTAGGAGGGCGTGGACGAGTCTTAACTTTTATAAAGAATATCTCTTTGGGTTTGAGACTTTAGTCTTTGCAACTTTAGGGATCTTATCTATTCATAAACAGCTTGTAACACTCCAAAGAGAAAGGAAAACTTGAAATCGCATCATATGTCGCTTAGAATAAAAGTGTCTGCCAAACGCGTAAATGTACTTCTAAATTTGATCTGTCTATTAGTTGGGAAAGTGTTTACTACTTATCCCCTCCATTCGATGTAGTATCTTAGGGTATAACTCATGACATAAGCATCTAAAACTGAACCTTAGAATAACAGCGCAGGTCAGATTCAACATCAAGTCTTTAAATCATTAACCGTGCTAGATAGGTGATTCAAATACCAAATACCAATTGATGGAGAGATAAAAAAAATATTGTATAAACAATATACAGGTAGATTACACACACTTCTTAGCTTCTGCTCTGTGCTTATGGCAGTGCATTGAAGTGTATGGGTGAGACAGATAAAGTGCAAACACACTGCAAATGCACTTTTGTTGCAAGAGGTTGAAGGTGATAATGGAATAAGGGAACAATGGGTCTGAACCCTGAGTCCTACATGACAGAGAGCTCTGAACCTGTCAAAAGCACGGACAGGAGTTACTGTTTAGCTTGGATCAACTCCAGTGTCTCCTGTTTGGAATTCAAGGAATGTCTACAGGAGTCGGAAGTCTAGGAACCACAGTGTGCTTTTTCCGGAGTTAAGAAGAATGATGAATTTATGCTGCCCTGTGATCGGTTTGGCTTTGTTTTCTTAACATGAACAAGAGTGGAAATCGGAAAAGGGAAACAGAGCCAGGGTCAACGTACAAAATCATAGAGCACAATGTCACACGGCACAAGACGACATAGCTTATTGTCACACAGAAGTGTTTAAGAGACTGAAGGAAACACTTGTAGATGAATGTAGCCTTGAATGAGCTGGTGACTGGTATATATACAAACACAATCATGTCTCCTGTGGAAAGGTATTACTGGAAAGACACAGATCAGGACGAGCGGGAAAACCTTCAGAGGGCTTTTGTGTAAATCTGCTATTGTGAACTAGAAGTATTGAACAAAAAAAGGAGCCATACATCTTTTTTGTGTGGCTTTGAGAGCTCAACATTGTTGACTTCCTGCTTCTAGCATTATGTTTATTCTCAAAACTGCATGAGTGTCAATAACCTGATTCTTCCGCCTGGTTGTCTATTTAGCGCACTCTGACTTTTGTGGATATTGAAATTATGTTTGAAAAGGCTCTTGGCTTTACTTGTATGTAAAAAGACACTTTCAGTGTTTTGTTTAGACTTCATTTAGGTGGTTCAGACCTTAAAGTGGAAATGAAGCAGTCAAGTTTACATTATTTAGTACACTGTTTTCCTCATTTTTTAAAAAATATATATAACAAACACGATTGATGTAACCATTTTAAAGAAAAAAGGATGTTTTGTTATAGTTTTAGGAGCATTGACACCACCATCATGCAATACCACAATGTGTGATGTCACGAGGTTGGTTTGCTCCGTTGGCCAGTGCAGTAATGCAAGTATTTCTTTACTTTTTGAACACACAAATGTTATTTTAACTCACAAATGTTTTTGGTTTTCACCATAATTTGGATGAATATCCAACATCAAACTGTCTACATCACAAAGTTTTGATCGTGGTACCCCAAACATTGTTTTCATAACCCAAGGTGCAACGTGATGTAAACAAACAACGCTTCATACCATATCGTTCATGTGGCATCTTATTGTTATGTCAGACCTTTCAGAGATATTTGCATTACCTGTGAATACAATTAACTTGCAGTTGTTAACAAGACACTAAATCTAATCACCTCTCTGAACGATTGTGTGTTCAAAAAGTAAAGAAATGCTTACATTACTTCACTGGCCAACGGAGCAAACCAACCCCGTGACGTCACACACTGTGGTATTGCTCCATTGGCAGTGTCAATGCTCCAAAAGCTATAACAAACATAATTTTTCTTTACAATGGTTACATTAATTGTGTTTGTTATATATTTTTTATTAAAGTGGAAATCAGTTTACTAAATAATGTAAACATGACTGACTGCTTCACTTCCACTTTAATTAGACTGACTAACTCCAAGACCGCCATATAATGTCTGTACATGCCAAGTACTTAATACTGAGCAGTACATACTAGTAGCAGGCAGCACTGCGGTTCCCTGCCCTGTGTGTGAGACATTCTTACCAAGCCAATGAGGTATGGGCTCCCAGCATCCCCTAGTAAATGTGAGGTGAAGCCTTGGAAGGCAACAGCAGTGGCTCTTCTGGTCGGTATGACAACAAACTGGAGAGAGAAAAGAGGTGATATGAAAACAGCTGTGAGAATTTCACATTAAATCATAACAGGAAAATAAAAGTACCATGGGTGCTCACTTAAAGGGATAGTTCACCCAAAAATGAAAAAAAAATGAAGAAGACGCGTCACGCACCGGCTGAAGAAGAAGACACGAACGCGCTCAGGACGCGCTCAGGACAGTTCGGACAGTTCGGACATTGCAGTAAATCAGAGGTAAAAAATGATATAAATACTGTTCAGTTTCTTGCACAGACCGATCATTTCGTGTTTTTACACATCAATGTATCGGCACGGGCCGCAGGGTTTAATTTGGTTTTGTTTGTGTGTTTTATGACTCTCAAAGCCGTGTTTCCCATTCACTTCCATTATAAGACTGACAGACTGCAACGGTTTGAGTTAAAAATCTTCGTTTGTGTTCTACTGAAGAAACAAAGTCACCTACATCTTGGATGCCCTGGGGGTAAGCAGATAAACATCAAATTTTCATTTTTGGGGGAACTATCCCTTTAAGCAGATGCTGTCAGAGTGCTTTACACTGACCGAAGCTGACTGGAGTTTAAGTATGCAGTAAGACCTTGACTGACTCAACTTCATGACAGCTTTTCTTGCTAAATCTTTCACTATCTGTTTACTGAGTTTCTCTAACTCACTTGCTTCCTTCAGACAAAAACATTCAAACTGAAAATGTTATTTCATTTTATTTTCCATTAGTGGCGTTTCCATTAAGCGCAATCAAAGGCAGCAATTTTGTCTTGGGCCCCACCCAGGCTATACCAAACCTCGTAGTCATGCATCCCACCATTCAAAATAAGAAACTAGCCTGAGAAGATGACCACTTTTGTTACAGTTAAAAGCTTTAAAGTTTCCACTCGATGCAGCAGATAAATACAGGCTTTCAATACGAACCATTAAAATGTCCGCTGTAATGGCCCAGTTCAAAAAGAGCAGCGTCTCTCCGATGAAAATGCAGATCTGAGAAAGAAAAAGAGAGGGAGAAAGAGAGTGAGGGGAAAAAAATAGAAGAAGAAAGGTCAATTATATCTCATTTTATTCTTTAAAATGAAAAGTTACTCTACTTGCACATAAATACATTCAGATAGCAGGGTTTGCAGTTGGTCAAAGACTCAATTAACCCAGCTCATCTACTAAATCAAAACACCCCAATAAATGTTGTGGAATATGAAAACATGTCATTATACTGTGGTTGTGCTATATGTAATTTTTGATTTGAGGCCAACAGAACCGTGTCTTGCTCCAAACCGTAAAAAAGAGACAAGCGGTTTGCATTATACTAGAGTGGAACCTAAAATGTCTGGTGGCTGAAAACGTGTTACGTTTAACAAGTTATTTTAACAGACTCACGTGATCCCACGAGAACAGACTAACTGACTTCAGCATTCCCACACAAATTAACTGATATCCCTCAGTGTCTGGTCTGGATTTTCAAGGTGCTTATATCAGATTGAGACACAAGGATTGAATATCTCCACTAATCTCAGTGACTTGACAGAATGTAGATGGTCTTTCCTCATTTCTGAAGCCAAAATGCGACTGACGGCAGCTGCTGGGGTCAAACCAGATGGGATTGTGTGAAGAACTGTAGGTTGCAGGGGAATTTGATCGTTCAAGTGGCCGTTCTGACTTTGACAGGGTCTTGTGTTGGGCTCAGAGTGATATGTTGAGCAGGGCTGACAGAGGGATGACCTCAGGGTGTAAAACAGAGGTGATGGTTTTAGTTTATGGGTCTAGAACCTTCCATTTATATGCCGGTGTGAAAGAATATCTGAATAGAAGGTGAGGAAATGAAAGCGTGAAAGTGTCTGTGTGTGTTCGGACATGTATGAAACTCTGTCTCAAAGTGACTTGAGACTTAGACAGCGTGACGGATGGACAGAGAGGCTAAAACTATAAAGCCCTGCAGGACTCTGGTTAAGGGCTGAAGTGTGATCTACTAACATGCTGACGAGACAGCAACTGTCCCTGCTGGAACAGACCCCGACAGAGCTCCAGCGTGCTGTCACATTCTCAGACTGCACATCTGTCACTATCAAATTTTCTCGCTCCAAATATTTTCCCTCCTTAAAGTTTTGGATTCCTTGTTTTTTGTATGCTCCATTTGGATGTAATTACAGAAGCCTCTTGACAAGTGATTGAAAGGGCGCTCATCTCTTTAGTTGGGAGCTGGGTATATTTTTACCCAGAACTGACACTGTAATGTTACCTGTTTGACAAGATGGCATGAAGGCCAGTGGTCCAAATGATGTGTCATTCAATTCTATAAATACCTTAAATTTGATTATTTACTGTAAAATTTGCCCTGTTGCTCTCAGTAAGACTGACAGGCATTCACTTTTTCCATTTCCACATTTTCCAATTTACTATAAAGTGTTTAGTGAGATAACTGTGATTTATATTTAAATGACTTAATACACCACCGTTCAAAAGTTTTGGGTTGGCACTTTTTTAATGGTTTTGGGAAAGTCTCTTATGCTCACCAAGGCTGCATTTATTTGATCAAAAAATACAGTAAAATCAGTAATGTTGTGAAATATTATTACAATTTTAAGTAAATATTTACTATCTTAATATATTTCAAAATGTAATTAATTTATTTGATTGCAACACTGAATTTTCAGCAGCCATTACTCCAGTCTTCAGTGCTTCAGTGCATTACTCCAGTTGTGCTGATTAATATTTTTGTGGAAACAATGTTACTTTTTATCAGGAATCTTTGAAGAAAAGGAAAAATATACAGCCTTTATTTCAAATAGAAATCGTTTGTAACATTATAAATGTATTTACGGTCACTTGATCAATTTAATACATCTTACTGAATATTAATTTCTTTAAAAAAATCTTACTGACCCCAAATTTTTGAACAGTAGTATGCATTTTTTATGGAATTAAAATTTTTTTTGTAATTACTTTTATTATACTATAAATTGTTATTCTTTTCTTGTGCTATTTATTATAGATTGTGTGAATTCATGTGACCCCCAACTAGACACCTGAGCAGCCAGTTCTACCCACAGGTAAGTTCTACCCACCGTCTGCTTTATAAATCTTTTCAAAGTCATCACAACTTTTAACAAAGGCACAAGAGGCTGCAAAACCAGATCAGTTTGAGGGTACAGTTAGTAGCCAGTCTTTCATATTTAAGATAAGGTGACTAATGTTGAGCAAGCTTAGAATTTCTCAAGCATAACACCAGATAGATGGCATTATCACAGTGTACTAGGTTCTTTTGTTCATAGGAAAGACAAACAGTCCCTAAAAATACTTTCTCATCAGACTTCTCATCATAAACACTTAAGAGATTCCCAGTCCGGCTTGACCCTTTAGGGAGCGTGTTGCATTTAGTTCTGACCTGATTGTTTTTGTTGAAAGAACGAGCGTGACCTGATAGAATTTTTTTGTTTTCTTATGCAGCATAACTTTTCTCTATTAGTGACTCAGAAATGCCACAGCCCATTGTTTCTCAGCAGTAACTGTGAAAACTGCTCCCTTTTCCTGCTTTACATGCCAATTAAACAAGTACGCAGTGCCTGTCGCTCTTATTCTTTTAGTGTTGGGTTTGGACCTAACAACCCTGCCAAGCAACTATGGCTGTTAAACCTACTGAATGCAACAGACTTTATATAGTTTAAAGCCTTATATACAACTCTGAATAGAAGTGACCTTATTTGACTGAGAAGACTCATTATAATACAAGAATAGTCAGAAGGGAGTTGTACTAGAGATATTCAGGCCACAGTGTTAAGCAACCTTTCAGAATCTCAGTGTTTGCACCACAATCCCATGCCAACTAATATAATGAAGAATATTGTAACAGATTATAGATGTGTAACCCATGGAGGACATTTAGAAGAGATATGTAGTACATTGAAAATCCTGTTTGTGTATATATATATATATATATATATATATACTGTATATATTCACACACACACACACAAGTAAGATTTAAGGTAATTTGAAGTCAAAATAGAGCTACTTACATACGCTCCCACAATGCTCTTCTTGGCCACAACAAAGATGAGGCAGATGAAGATAGCAGAGCCCAGCATGCTGACCGCACACACCAGCGGGTCGGCACGCTCCGTCTTCTGTCGGCAGAGCCGCGTGGTCACGGCACCGATCACCACTCCCAACAGCCCTGTCACACAGGTGATGGCTCCGAATATCAAACTGGAGATGAGAGAGAAATATTGTCATTGTCAAAAGTGTAATGTTTGTATTTGTACAATACATTTTAAGCGGCATGTGTATGTTGGGACCTGTCTTTGCTGCTGCATGGTTGATAGGTGCAGCTCACTGCTGTCTTCTGCACCACCTGAGCTCTGACCAGGTACTGCGGGATCCAGATCCCAAACGCCCCCGTGGCAAATGACACAGCGGCCGATGCCAGAGATGAAAATACATAACTACGGCTGGGGAGCAGAAAGAAAATGAATGAATATGCATAATTCTTAAGTTTTTCTGCATTTGCATTTTTCTGCATCTACATGCGTTTTTCTGTTACTCTTGCTCCTTCATTTTTGTCAGCTTGGCCACAACTAAGATGGTTGGTCCAGTGGTGTGAATCATTTTTTTAAACAATCAATTAAAATGATACAATGTATTTATAATTTAAACAGTTTTAGTTGAATTGTACTTTGTCACACCACAGGCTACTGTAAAAACTGCTTGAAATTTTACAACTCCAACTGCTCCAATACACTGTTACCAAATTCAAGTGAAGGCAGGACCATAAAAACGATAGACTTTGAGGGGTCCAATATTCTGACTCGATGGCTGATTGTTAAGTGATTACATCTTGTACCCCCCAATCCTGAATATTTGGTTCATTGCGTTCTTAAAGGCACAATATGTAATTTTTCGTCACTAGAGGGCGCGTATTCAAAATAAGGGTAAAGCAGCGCTGTTTTATCATACTAGATACATTTGAAAGTTCTGTTGTAATGCTACTCTGTGCGGTCGTCACCGGTCTATTAAAACGCATAACATATTAAAGCGTCTTTGGTGTTTCCATGTTTTCTACAAAACAAAACCGGAAATTGAGGGGTTATGACGTCATTGGCAGGCGACACAATGACACTATAGACACGGTCCGTGTCACTAGTTAAAATTGCTTATTTCTCTGGATTTAAACATTCTTCGAAACATTTGGGATAATGTAAGTACACAAGTCAGCAAAATATATAACACTGTTCTAGTGGTTTTTGGATATTTTAATAAAAGAAATCTTACATATTGTGCCTTTAAGTGATAAATAGGGAAAAATAATAAACAAGTGGCATACTTTTTGGCAAGAGCTTTCATGTCACAGAGCCAGGAAGTGCGTGTCTTTATACGTCCAGCGATATGGTCAGCACTCCCTCTCTTTGGCTCAGGGACAACAATGAGAATGAGTGTCCCAGCAATCAACCCCAACATCGGAGAAACCTTGAGACAGAAGGGGGAAAAAACTGTTTAAAAAAACAGGGATTAACAAAATATGCTAATAAGTTTCTTATGTATTTATGTCTTGTTTTCCAGTAAAATATGTTAACATACTTGAAACAAGTTAAATGTATACTTGAAGCAAAACTACTTGAGATTTTATTGTTTTCTGTGAAGATATCTTGAATTAAGTTAATTTTTTTCTACTCCATTGGTAATTTGTTAAGAATATATAAAAATCAAGTATTATTACATCATATAAATCATACCTTACAACATTTTTTGATTTTTTTACTGGGAAAAAAGCAAAATTCTGCTTAAGAATGTTTTGAGTGCAGTACTCGCTGCTGTAACTAGACTAAACATTTTTGCTTGTATTACTGCGAGTCTGTGCCGTCTGTTAAACAAAATCTTGTGCGCTGAACAATAAGAATCTGTCTCGCATCCTGTTTGGTCTAGCAAGTTATTCGTTGAGCCCATAATGGTGGTGTTATTTTGTGATTAGCCGATGGTTTAGTATGTTACAGATTAGTTTTATTTATATTCACATCAGGGTGTGTAGTGTAGGCAGTGCTCTAGACTGCAGTGTGAAGTGGACTCCATTAGGTGATGTTTCTTTACTCCATCCTCTCGTTTTCTTTCTCACTTTTCTCCCTTGTGTGGGAGCAGCTGCGGTCCACCAGGCCATGAGCTATTATCTCTTTTATCATCCTTCCTGATGGCTATAGCACAGCAGTGTGTGTATGTGTGTGTGCACGTGTTTGTTGGTTCGCTCGCCCACATGGAAGCAGTGTAAGCGCCTCTGTCGCTTGTGAAAGCCAAAGCAATACTGGCTGTCAGGCGCAATCCTCCTGGAGATCATTTATAGCACATTAATGCAAAGCTCTGCTCAAAATTGTGTCTCTTATGGGTGTGGTTGTGTGCATGTAAATATCTAGTCATCTGCACTGCACAAAAATTCCTAATCGATATTTTTGTCTTATTTTCTAGTTCATTATTTTTTATTAAAATAAGATTAATCATATAAGCAAACTTAAGATAACATATATTATATCTTAATATATACTACTTTTTAAAAAGTTTGTAGTCGGTAAGATTGTTTTTTTTTTTTTTTCTATTTCAAATAAATGCTTTTGTTTTGAACTTTCTATTCATTAAATAATTCTGAAAAAAAAAGCCGCACAACTATTTTCTACATTAATAAATAGGCTAATGTTTCTTGAGCACTAAATCAGCATTTATGAATAATTTTTGAAGGATCATGTCAAAGACGCAAATTACATTTTAAAGTATCTAAAAATAGAAAACAGTCATTTTAAATTAGAATGATATCTCAAATAAATGCACCTTGGTGAATATAAGAGAAAAAAATAAATAAATAAAAAACGCAAAGACCTCAAACTTATATGTATATTTATGTATATACATTTTATTTTCTCTTATGCCTATGCCATTTTTATTCTTGTTTTAAGTGTAATTAACAAAATAACAAAATTTACTCAGACTTTTGCTTAAAACAAGGGGGAAAAAATCCAATTGGGTAACAAAAACAAACTATTGATTATTATCTATACACATTTATTAAATTATTTTAATAAATTAAAAATTGTTTTATTTATTTGTTTTATGTTATTTTGTAAGGATATTCAATTATTTTACTGGAAAATAAGAAAAATATTATTAATTATTAGTGTTATTACAAATTATGATTATTATTGATATAATAAAAAAATATTTCTGAATTATTTTTTTTTTGCAGTGTTCAGCAGTATAAATCTGTATAGTGAACAACAAGAGAGTGAAACAGATCACTGCGTCCCATTGACGTGCTGCTGTTTTCTGAACTACACTGTGATTCTGTGGACTGAATGTGTCTCTGTGTGCACTGCAGTGCTTTTGATCTCGCTAAAGCCTGGATTTAGTCTTGTTATCCCTCCATAACAAGAAAACCCAGCAACCGTAAAAGAGGTCTTTGCAGTGGACCTATTTTCTGACAGTCACACTGGGACATCCCTCACAGTCTCTCTGGTCTAGTTTCATATCAAAGCATGCGTTGATCAGTCATCTTGAACTCTGACTCTGTCTCGCACCCTACCTTAGTATTACGAGATGCTGCCCTTTCCTGCTAATCTCAAGCTACTGTAGCTTCTTTCGTGCTTGTTAAGGTTAGAGCTGGGATGCCAAAGAGCGAGTGTAATCAAAGAACAAGAGATCAAGGTGCTATTTCTCCTGGCATTTCCGCTCTCCGACCTGCAGAAGATTGATATGGCTCTCAATAATTATGATCTAATCCTCCACTCCAAAAAAACGCACTCCCTATTCGAGAACGGAAGGCGATTGAGTTCTTTAGGGCCCTGCAAAACAAGCGGAAAGTGGCACAAAATGTTTTTTCCCCCCTCAGAACAGGATATGGGCGATACGGAGTACCTTTTCATCTGTCTGTTGTTTTTATACTCATTTAAAGTGCCAGTGATGATTAATAGTCCACCAAACCACGAGCTTTGTCTTCTCAAGGAATGTTTTACTGCATCCAAGAGCTCAAACAATGGCGCTCCGCTACTGTTTGCAAAAGTGTTCCGACAAACTACTC